GCTGCTGCATCACTGTCGGGGGAAAGTTTAATAGCTTCAGAAACAGCAATGCTTGAGTCTTGCGAACCATTAAGGTATTTTCCATTGAAGTACCAAACTTTCAAATTAGTGAACTGGTACGATTTGTCAATCTCAACTTTATCTATTGCTTCCCCCACAATGTAAAACGCACCGCGCTGCTGGAATCTGCGATTATGGTCTCACTCTTGTTGACTGTTTTGTTCAGCTTATAGGGAAACACAGGTTAGACGTCTGACTTTGAGATAAGTTTGGCTTTGACGGAGACTATATCGCCAACTTGAGCCGTGGGATTTTTACGCAGCGACCGTCAAGTCTGATCGAATTGGGCTCTATAAAGGTTTTAGTGTGACTATAGGCCGCTATGATTGATGTGTGCGCTGTCTGCTTTAGAGCTCAGGTATTTAAAGCACAATAAAGCAATTGTTACTCGCCCAAAAAGACGGCAAAAAAGCTGGAAGCAGAACTCTTCGAAAAAATGGCTGCCATGAGAGAACGTGGATCCAGCATGCATTGCGAGCCAGACGGAATTTGATTTCCGCTTACGCCAATTTGATTTCAATTTGATTTCCGTCTACGCAATTAAATGTCCTCGCAGTTAATTGTCCACAAATCCGGCCCTCCACAACAACTCATTCACTGCGCTGCGCGCAAATGAATGAGTTAAAAACGGAGTTGACAATCTCGCGTCACACCGACGTCCTGACTCTCGACCTCTCCGCTTTACACAGTTCTTGTACTTTGATTTTCTAGTTTAAACGAAAGCTACCAGTTGTCAGGAGGATTTCAAAAGATCGTCAAAAGTTGACGAAAAGTATATTAAACAGGCAATGACTTGGTAATCTTTAATTTAAAGCGCCAAATACAATTTTCCACTTACAGATACAGTAAACTCGCAGATCAACCTGTACAAAGCTTATGGTCACGTCAAAACCATCCTGTTTTTCATTGGTTATTCGCGCAGTCGTCACACTCTTCTTGGTTCTTTACTGGATGCTCACCCGCACATGGTTATAGCAGACGAAACAATGGCTTTCTACAAGTGGAGCTCAAAACGAGACATATGGTTGAACGGCTCAATATACGCGTATTTTGACACTATGTTCTACTCTTCACAGCGTGCAGTCAACCAGGGAAGAAGGTCTGAATTATTTAAAGGAAGTGTTTTGAACACAACCTCTAAGTTTCGGTATTATGTGCCAAACCAATGGCAAGGAAACTTTGATCAGTACATTGAGGTAAGTCGAATGTAAGGCTTATTTTGCATTGAAATCTGAAATCAAAAGATCCAGTGGGTATCTCTTGCATTCGCACCATATTCATTCCCATGGTTAAACGGATACGAAGAATTACAAATAATTTTCTTATTTCCAAAATCTCATTTTCTTAACTTCGTCTAGGTGTTAATTTTTAGTACTAAACAAAATCATCATGTGATCCTTGTGAAAGAAACACCATCGCATCCCACAGGACTGCTAACCCGACACTTGTAGAGTCTACTTAAATTTACATACCTCTTGCTAATCGAGTTCGAGGGCCGTACTGTAAGCTGCGGCCCGAGTTTTGTCCCCATCGATTTATGGTCCAAGCGCGAAGCGCATGGCCATAAATCGAAGGGGGAAAACGAGGATCCGTAACTTACAGTACGGATCGACAAAACAAGGTTAGTAAGATATTTATTATATCTCTACTGTGTGTCTGACGGGCTCTGGAACGATTTCTATTCACGCAGAATTAACGGCGTCAAAGTTCTGACGCACCTCGAAAGCAAAACAAGTCAATCTGAAATCGTTGTTAAGTGACTCTTAAGTCCTTAGCAGGTGTTAATACACAATCTCAGAAGTAAAAGAAAAAAAAAACTTTTATTTTAGCGGGCCTGGCAGTAGCCGCATACAGCCCCGCTAAATTGACCCGTGAACCACAGCGCGAGTACTAACTGAGAGATATAATTAATAAACTTGATTATTTTTTAAGGCCGTTCATTGATTTCGAAAAAGGGACCAAATATATTTTTTTGGACCTTACCATAGTTGATAGCGGGAACTGGCTGTGAAACCTAGCAAATTTCTTTGTTTTTTGTCATTTTGGCTATTTTGTTTGTTTGTTTGTTTTTGGTTGGGGGGGGGGGGGNGGGGGGGGGGGGGGGAGAGGGGGAGACCCTGCACAAAACCTGGCAAAATACAGAAGATGGTTATGTGCAGCCTATGAACAGGCTCTATAGTCAAGGATGGGTTGAAAAGAAAGCGGGAAAAAGGAGAATGGAAGAGAGAGGAGGGTTAAGGTGAGGGGAAACACCATTTCCCCCTCGGCCACTTTACTCCAGCCAGTTCCGTCTTGGCTCTTCCAGCCGCGGTCAGACCCATCCAGCCGGAGCCTGTCCAGAGGCTGGCCTAAGCAATAAAAACCTAGCGATTATGTAATTCGTGCATGTATATTCTTTGAGCATCAAACAAAAGATGTGTGTGCAGGGTCAAGAACCTTCCAACATAAATCTTAGTTTGTTTGATTGCTTCTTTGATGTTTACCGGACTTCTTAACCATTCCCTCTATTAACTAGGATCTTTTGCTTATTCTGCGTAAATTTTTGACTTATTGTAGGAAAGATAGTCTTAAATCTTTTCATTAATTCTGTCAATAGGTCATTGGAGACAAGTCAGGAGCGCTTTCAGCGATTGTCATGAACAGAAAGAATTCGTTGGACGCTGTTCACATTTTAGAGAAAACTGCGGGCGCTAAGGTCAAATTTGTTCATGTTGTGAGAAATCCGTTCGACAACATTGCGACCATGGTTCTGAAGCATAAAAACATCAAGGCACGGCATGGAGAACATAGAGTAAAGGTATGATAAAAATTAGTAATAAAAATAGTAACATCATGTGTGTAAGGGAAATGTCTGCAGCCAACAATAAGGCACAGTTATGCTTGTATTACAATTATTAAAAAAAAAAATACTAAAAAGTCTATGCATTTTATATGGGCTAGTAGTCTAAATTGGGTTTTCTCAAGTGTGAATGACTTCTAAGCAATAAACAATTTAAGAAAACTTACTAAAATCACAACAAAGCATTAAGGCTATTAAAACAACAAGGCATTTGCAAAAGACGCAAAATAAAATACTGAAGAGTTATACATAAACTGTGGTATATAAATCTTCGAAGTGCGAATGATTTTCAAAAGGCTTTTATAAACAAGCAATTTCCCCCTTTCCTACTGGTAAACTTAATTTTTTGGGGCAAAGTGATGTTGTGTGTTGCAATTTTGATAACACTATACAATTATATGTTTTTAACTAAAGCGTGCACCATCCTTCCTTTCTCTAAAAGGCCAACTAGCCCGCAAACAACAACAGCTCAAGCATGCAGTATTTTCGATGTTTCTAACATTTCTCCAAGAAGTTATGTGTGTCATATCAGGCTTTAGATAATCTAACAATAATCAAAAGAATGCTTCCAGCCTAAAATAATGTTTTCAGTGAGAAAATAGGCAGTGTGTATATTCCAAAACAGGCGAAGTGGTAGTTAACATATTAATGTTACTTCGGCATTAAAGAACTACACTTCTGAATTATTTGCGTCAATAGGTAAAGGCTCCTGATGAACTTGAAAGAAAAACAAAGTTTTACTTTAGTTTGGCCAAAGGATGTAATAAGGCCAGGGAAGCTTTTCCAGGCAGCTTCCTTGATGTACCCAGCATGGAGATAGTCAAGAACCCTGTGGAAACCCTAAGAAGAATCTGTCAGTTCCTGGAAATCACGTGCACAGAGCAATATCTCCAGGATTGCGCAGCCATTGTGGACCCGGTCCCCTCTATAACACGTAATTTTATAGAATGGACCGCTGAACAAAAGAACACAGTGTACGACATGATGAAAAAGTACCCTTTTTTCGAAGGGTATTCTTTTGATAAGTAAATGCAATTGTTACTACTTACTAAGTCGTCATAAAAGATGGGCAAGAACATGAGCGCTGTGTAATATTAGTGTTTGTCGTTCATTTTAGAAAATAGCAATGATAATAAAGTAAGTGAAAGTTTAGTCTTCAGATCCGGCTTGAGCAAATGGTTGCCTTTCATGTAAGACTTAAACCGTGTAGATAAGCTTAGATTTCCTGAGGGTTCAGACTAGGCGTTATTGTATCAAGTTTATTTTAACATTATTATTTCAATCAAGAGTGTAATAAAATTGTGTTGTTAGGAAACTATGTCTACACTGCATTTCTCGTTATCTTTTGCTAACTCCGTCCATAGTTATAGAAGGGACTGGTTATGAAGCTCAACAAACATCAAAGGTTCAAACAAAGGAGTCAGGATTTATGTGTAAGGTCCACGACTGTGCACAGTCTTTTGTTTTGCGGTCACACGCTATACGTGAACTACGTAACCAAAACCCTTATCAAAAAAAACTGTTACGCAATCCTTTATATACAGGCTGGTCGTAACTTGGAATAAATCTTATCCCAGAACCAGATTAAAAGCTATTGGCTCTTAGAAAAATTGGGGCAATATTGCCTTTGGAAACGTCTTCACTATTCTAACAGAAGAAGTTCTGATGTATCTGAGATCACAAGGCAGAATTCGAATCCTTGCAGTTCCCTTGGCGGCGCTTATCGGCCTACCTATGGTGGGTGCTCTGGTTGTGTGGACAAAGAAAGGTCTTTACATGGAGCAAAAGTACACGTCGAGATTCAACGTTGGTAAGAAAAGTTCCCTGTCTCTAGCAATTGCCGATAAGCGCTCAATGGTGTTAGCAGTATAGTAACCTTGATCTAAGAAGGGGAGAAGATTGAGCCATGTTCTATTAACAATATTAGCCCTCGCCAGTGCGTGCAAGGGGAGTGGAATGGATAACACTACCATATTTTTTTTCGAAAATTTGATAAGAGGATTTACTCTGTGATGCCGACACTTTTAATAGCTGACTCTTAGCAAAATCATCTGACATTGTAGTTTCCATCAAATGATATTGTATTTTGCTAACTTTCTACGAAAATCCAAGATGGCAGACTTACGGACGCCATATGACGTACGCGACTTAAAGTCATGACCAGCAAAAGTTTTTAATATTTTCATTCCAGAGCTACCATTAAAAGCAATTTTAATTCAAGTTAAACAACACTTACATGCAGTGTAGTAACGCACGTTTGCTTACTGGTTCTCACTAGTTCTGTTGTAAAGCACTTAGGAGGCTGTAGAGCACTCAAGAAGTATGTGTATGACCTGCGCATGTTCATTCCTTTATAGGGCGATAAGAAATGCTATTGCACCCATTAGGGACAAACATTTTAAATCAGGCCATGGGATATTACCGGCACAATATTATCCAAGAATAGTACCGAAACTGTCCCGGATAATGTTGTAGTTTTATGACTTACTTTTCTCCAAATATTAACTTACAAGTAAAATATAAATAATTTTTAAAAAGATGTTGAACCGATATTTTTTACTGGGAAACAGCCGGCACGAGTTGAAAAAATTTTTGGCCCTATTTTGTCAAATGTTCTCAGTGATGGCTTTCTGCGTTTCAAATCGTTTATTCACAAAGGCAACAACTCGTTATGACAATCTCAGCTTCACGTAGTTCTAGTAAGTTTATTTCCTACTTTAAGCAAAAGCCCGCCATCAGTTACCAAGAAGACGCCAAAGTGTCCAAATTAATGAAGATAATTTTTAACAGGTAATGATAAGACGATCTTCGATTTTAAGAACTCACTAACAACTTTTGACTTCCAGATAAAGTACACTCACAGACCAACCCGTACAAAGCTTATTCTTTATTATGTACCAAACCAATGGCCAGGCAGGTTTGATCAATGCATTGAGGTAAGCCGAATGTGAGGCACTTATTGAGCGCTAAAATCAAAGGACCCCATATAGTATCTCGTGCATAAACACCCTATGTGGCGTTATGGAAGACGGATAAGCTTTTTATCAATATTATCAAATTTTATTTTTAAAAAGCTATCCTTATACTATTCCCATCACAAGATCACCTTCAAAGGGAAAAAAGCTGAAAAGGTCGCAATGATCAAAGCGCACATTGGCAGCTTGCTGTACGATTCAATGGAGTGTCAACAACCTCGGCAGCCCCCGCTAAGAAATGTGCAGCAACAAGTGACCTCATCACTTTCCGAGGTTGAAACTGACTCACAAATAGACGTGGTAGATCGAGTTGTCGGTTCAAGTCCGAGTAGCTTAAGTAACGAATCGACACCGGAGACTGATTTTATGGCAGAACCCCGCGCGGAAACATTACCGCCGTCAAAATATGGACAAAAGCGGGCACTGGTCGAGAGAGACGATTATGTTAATTGGGACAAGATGTTTCGACACCTGTAAATAATTTAGATTAATCTTGACTGGTAGCTTTGCTTGTATATAAAAGTTTTAGGTTTTTATACACTTCGCGTGTTTGTTGACAAATAACAGTCAACTAAGCGACATGGAGTATTTTTTTCCTTGCCAAAAAAAAACTGTGACCCTCCCCCTGTTGCGAATAAAACAGGTTTGACCCTCCCCGATCTGTAGAAAATTTACTAATGACTCTTCTCTCCGAAGACCCGGAGACAAAACAGGCAAAACCTTCACTTTCGTTTTTCTATTAAGAACACTGAAATTGATCGTGTTAATAAAGTTTTATTGTTAGGAGTTATACTTGACGGGCACTTGTCTTGGAAATCTCGAATACAGAACATAGCAAAAAAAAAAAAAAATTCAAAACAAGTAGGCATTATCTACAAATCAATTTTTTTCCTTAATGAGACCTCTCTATGTACTCTCTATTATACTTTAGTTTATCCCTATTTACACTACTGAGCAGGTATTCGGGGCTCGACTCATCAATCAAATCTCAAACTTTTAATTACGCTTCAGAAAGGAGTTATTGCGATAACTTCGAGAAGTACCTTTAATGCATATACACACCGACCCTATTTTTTGAGGTTAAAAATGCTAAAATTTGAAAACATTACCAAACTTCAAAAACGGAAGGTTATGTGCCTTTACAAAAATCGCCTTCTTCCTGAAAACTTCAATGGCTTGTTTTTATTTAACTGTGACGTACATAAATACAATACATACTAGAACTAAGAAATTTACCCGTTTACCCTATTGTAATTAAGACTACTGTAGAGAAATTCTTCCTCCGTTTTCAAGGCCCAAAATTATTTAATTCTCTCAGCACTAAAATTCAAAATGCGTCTAGTATTGCTGTGCATGTTCACCTCTACACTTAAGTCATCTTCGGCGTGGTACAAGTATATTGTACTTCTCTTAGGTTAGTGACCTTGTGTGTGCTTTTTTCGCTTTTTTTCTTTTTTTTTTT